ACAGTTGGTAAGACAGACACATAAGTGACCACTAGACTGTTGGTCAACCTTTCCTAATGCCATGTATCTTTTCTTCCATTAAAGAAAAAGGTATAATTCACTGTGTGAGAGTGTGTGTGTGTGTGTGTGTGTGTGTGTGTGTGTGTGTGTGTGTGTTGGAGGAAGTGAAAGAACCAATCATGAAATAAATAGTATCCTTTTGTTCATTTCTAAATTTCATAGAATGTTTACTTCCTTAAAGTCAAAGCCTAGCAAAAAGCTAGTTTGCCATCTCTGAAGGCCATGATTAAAAATTAGATTAGCAGGCCTACAGGGCCCTACGGGAACAGCTACCTTACTAAGATATGCCATGATTTTTTCTCACACTGTTTACTAAGACACAGTTCATGAAAGTTTATCCATATTACTAATAGCATATATTCGGTGAAATGTATGACACAGTATTTTTTCCCTAAAATTTTATTGTGAAAATTTTCCAACATCCAAAACAGTCAAAAGAGTTGTATAGTACATCAATATATCCACGACCTGGATTGTACAATTAAAACAGGATGTCCCAAAAGTCTTAGTGGAGGTTTTTATTGTAAATTGATAATTTATAACTGTATAAGTTTATGAGGTACAAAGTGATCTTATGATTTATGAATGCAATGTGGAATAATTAAATCAAGTCAATTAACCTATCGCCTCAAATACTTCTTTTTTGTGGTGAGAGCATTTGAAATTTACTCTCTTAGCAATTTTGAAATATACAGCACACTATTCTTAAATACTAATATAGTCACTCTATGCAATAAAATTCTAAAAAACTCATATTCCTCCTGATCTGAAATCTTGTACCCTTTGAAAATGCTTCCATTACCATCATGGGTCTGGTTCACGAACATCCAAGGATTTCAGAATAAGATGATTAGGGCAAGATCCACAAAAATCAGTTCACATTGTAACACACAAGACACCTGAAGAAAGGACAAGGGTCTCATACATCTCAACTGCAGGGCTCAGGAAAACAGTATAAATACAGGTCTACATAATATACAGCTAACGACAGCAGTCCTCCCTCATCCAGCGGATCCGTTCCAAGACCCCAGTGCGTATATGAAACTGCAAATAGTAGCAAACTTTGTATATACTGTATTTTTTCTATACATTCAGACCTATGATAAAGTTTCATTTATAAATGAGATATAGTAAGATTAACAATAATAAAATAGAAGATTTATAACCACCAACTATAATAAAAGTTATGTGAATGTGGTCTCCCTCTCCCCACACCCCTACCAATATATCTCATTCATACTATCCTCACCCTCCTCCTTGTGATCTGCAGGTCTGATAACCAAGATAACTACTAAGAGACTAATGGGGAGGCAGTGTATACAACATGGAGACGTTGAACAAAAGGATGATTCTCATTCCGGGCTGGATGGAACAAGATTTTATCACACTACTCAAAAAGTGTGCAATTTAAAACTTATGAATTGTTTAATTCTGGAATATTCCATTTCTTATTTGTAGAGCACAATTGACTGCAGGTAACTGACACTGCAGAAAGTCAAACTGTGGACAAAGGAAACTACTGTATTTTTAAAGTTATAATTAAATGTTTAATTATAGTTATTCATAATTCTTGTATCCAATGTCCATATAGTCGCTGGGGAACAGAATTGACAAAGAATTGAAATACTGCATGTTTCATCTAAACGGATATAGCCCAACAGAACTTACTGCAATAATGGAAATGTTCAATTTTTGTGTCATCCAATATAATAGCCACTAGCCACATGTGATTATTGACCACTTGAAATGTGACGAGTGCAACTGAGGAACTAAATTTTAATATCATTTAATTTTAATTAATTTTTATAGTCACCTGTGACTAGTGGCCATCATACCTAGTTTTATGATAATATTCCTCAGCTGCCATATGCAACACTGTCAATATTTTGCTAATTCACGAGAAACTCTGGAAGTATGCATTGGAACAAAAAGATAAGCAAGAAAATAGACATTTATCATTTCTGGGAAAGTTACTTCATTATGCAAGATCTTTCAAGTTCATGCTAACAGAGGAAGTCTTGACACGTCAATTGATTTGTCTTATCTATAAAAGTACTTCTATCACTCAAACCATTCCCACTCTTTGAAGCAGCATCTGTCTGCAACATCAGCAGCAGCCCAATCCACAAACAATCACTACATTTAGAATCAATCATCTTTTATTTCAAGGACATAGCATAAAAGATGTGGTTTAGCTTTGCCTAGGAGCCTGAATGGTAAGAAGCATGAAATTGAATACTTGGGGTTAATGCTAGATCCAACATGGTAGAGGTGCCTCTGTAGCTCTCAATAAATGTGTGTGTGTGCGCGCGCGTGTGCGTGCGTGTGCACATGTGAGAGAGAGAGAGAGAGAGAGAGAGACAGAGACAGAGACAGACAGACAGACAGACAGTGGCCCCATGCAAAATTAGCAATTTTGGTGTAATCCTAATGTTATATACAATTAGCCTAAGAAGACATTTTTATTTAGAACAAAATTTAAAATGTATCACAAAAGTGGCAATATCACTACAGTAAAAAGCAGCAGGTAAATAATAGTTTTCAGTCCCTTCTACTCCACAAATAATGACATGTTCATTATGGCTGATGTGCTTAATATAAATCATTTCCCACGTGTGCTTATATGTGAGCATGATTTGGAAAGAACATGAAGTGTGAAGAAATACCAATAAGAGAAGCATGTGGGAGAAAGGGAATAAGCCAACAATCAAAAATCCAGGAGGTCAAATCATAGAATTAAAACATCGCATCAAGTCTAGTGCTGATCATTACTTGGGTCCACTCTAAGGTGCTGGACTGTGTTGCAGACAGCTGAGCAATGACACGTAAGTACTTGCAGGTGGTTTCTTTACCTGTTTCACTAAGCATGAATACAACCAAATGCCCTTATTCTTTTGTTTTATTGTTCTCACGTCCAGAATCCTCATGTGCACCAAACTGAAAAATGTTTAATTTGTTAATAGCCCCTAAAATTGCCTCAGCCCTGGTCCAAGATGTTCCAGATCAATACCTGATCTACAGAGAGGAAGCACAAAGGGAAAAGAGTCCTCGCTGTCTTTTGCTTAGGGAAGCTGACAATGCCATCTTCAGAGAGGGAGCCACACACACAAAGGAGAGTTCCATGAGGATCATGGCAGCTTGTGTTTCCAAAGGGAGTTGTCCCCAGGTTTGGCCCCTGTAGAGCTCCTCATTATTCTCAGGCCAAGTGAAAACTTCCTAATAGGACTTGAAAAGCTCTTTATCCTCTGGTCCCAGTTTATCATTACAAGTTTCTCTCGCCTATAGCCATATCATATATTATTTCACCTATTCCAATATACAGTGCCCTCTCTCTACCTCCCACCCTCACTTCAATATCTTTTGCCCAAGATGTTCCCTTGGTGTGGCATAGTCTCTCTCCACTTTCAACTTCCTTCTCCCTTTTCTCTGACTTCTGCTTATCCTCATCCAAGCTGGTTGAGGCTTTTTCCTACGTGCTCTCATAAACCCAAAAGATTTTACCTACTGGAGCAGGTATTACTCTCTAAAATAATTTTATGCTTATTTGCTTGAACCATCCACAAGGCCAGACTTTCTATTCTAGCGGGAACCATATCTGCCCTATTCATCACTGCATACCCACAGCCAGCACAATATGAAGAACATAATAATAGGAGGTAACTTTTATTACCCGCTCACGATGTGCCCGACAGCATATTAACTTGTCTTATCTTCCCAAACCCTATGAAGCAGACGCTGTTGTAACCCCTGTTTTACAGATGTGAAAACGTGACCACAGAGAAGTTATTAGAAACTTGTCTAACATTATGTAACTGGAAAGTGGCAGAATTAGGAATTAAACCTCGGCATCTTGATTCTGAGACTATGATGTTAATCACTCTGCTCTGCCACTTCCCAGCACAACAGGTATTCAACAAACATTCTGAGGGTCAATAAATGAAGGAAGGAAAACATTAAATCCCCAAATGAATAATGTTTTGGGCTATTTCTAACATGCATCATGTCCTTTTTAGTACTCCAAGGCATGAACCTTACTCCTGATTTAATTTCAAGAATAGCAAATGACAAAACATTTTGGAGTGGGATCATTATGTGAGGTCATTTGAATTTTGTGCAAAAAAAAAAAAAAAAAAAAAAAAAAAAAAGGCCTGCTTGCAAGCCTGGCCCTTAGCTGGCATCTGAGAACTTAACTGGTAAATAGTTCTCTACACTGATATAAAACTTTCTTTAAATCATAAAAGCATCTTACTGTGTCTAAATCGTTTGTGCATTGTTGCTTATGTTGAATAACTGCCTTCTTTCTGGGAGTCTGAAATTTTGGTGCATGCTAGTCACAGAGTGGCTTTGTGAACACCTCCCCAAAAATATTGGGTCCTGAGTCTTTAATGAGCTTCTCTGGTAGACAACATTTCACACATTGTCACAAGACACTGCTGGAGGAATTAAGTGCATCTATTGGAAATCCACCAGGAGAGGCCCCTTGCAAGCATGCACCTAGTTTCCTTCAGACTTTGCCCTAGGGTCATTATCCTTCATTTATCTTGTTTTGTACCCTTTTATCATAATAAATCTTAGCTATGATTACCACTATAAGTAGAGTCCTTTGAGTCTTTTAGCAAGATCATAGAAATGGTCTTGGGGATCCTCAACACAAATTCCACTGTGGGGTCATGTAGCAAAAGAAAGAATAAACAATGATCAAGGACTCCAGGCATAATTGCTACAAAAGCACACCAATTCCAGGGGGCTTAATCAAAGCGATTCTCCCATTGGAATAAGCAGAATTCATAAATTTAGACATGAAATCCTGTATTTAAGGCTAATCTCTGTTAATATTAAGGTAGGTGCTTTTATACAAATAACTAATCATCTCAGAGCTTTGTTTTTAATCTGTAATATGAGAAAAGCAATGCCTACTTCTTGGAATTTTTTTTTCTAGTCCCAACACTTATTTGTAGACTTCTCAAATCAAAGGTAAAAAATAATTATACATCACGATTGTTAGGAATACCAATTATTTTACAATTGCCACTATGTGTTTCTTCTTCTCTGACACAATTGGCACAGATCCAGGCTTGCCGTGTTTAATACAATTCACTTCCTTTCATCGACAAGCTTCTTTCATGATGCGCTCTTCCTGAATTTGGCTGTAGATAGATTTTGATAGATGTCAATGACGAGCTATACGTTTTATATGAGGATGGTGCTGAAATTTTTCCTTCAATTTCTGGTTATTATCCTTGGCTGCTTTTTCTCGTGATGTAAGCACACCCAATTTTTCAGAAGCATTAGCTTTCCATAGGCGAATGTTCATTTCATCAGACCCACACATAATATACTTGCTGTCAGAAGTCCATTTTGAACAGATAACATGTTGTGTTCGCTTTGTGTGTTATACCTCCCTGCTTCGACTTTTGTCCACAGGAAAGATTTGAATAGATTTATCAAAACTAGCAGATACAAACTCTTTCCCAGTGGGAGAGTGATCCACATCAAGGAATACAGATACATGATCCATATGGACCATTACAGGAGTGTCCAGTGCACACATATTAAAAGTATATAAAGTAGAATCTTCATTTGCCGCTATAAAAATGAAAGCTTCCATAGAGTTCCTACAGATTGTATTTGTTCTCATGTCTAAGGTAAACTTTTTCAAAGGAGTAGCTTGCCTCCTATCATATAGTACTATATTCCTGTCAGAGGCACAACTTCCCAAAAGAAATGTCTCAATTGGGTTAAATTTAACACTACTCATACTGGCATATTCCCAGGTCTTTGAACATATAGGATTAGTTTTTTTTTCATCCCAAATGTCTACTTGCTGTCCACATGTGGCAAAAACAGCTTCTTTCCAGGGATGATCAATCCCAGTATACACTGTCTTTCCTAATATTGTATGTAATGGTTCTTCCACTTCTCCATAGCCTGGCCCATCCATTTTCCACTGCTTCACAGTTCTGTCATCACCAACAGTGAAAAAAGAAGTCCCACAAAAGTGAGTACAAATTCCTTGTACAAAGCCTTCATGTGCTTGTATTGTACAGATACATTTCCGTTGAGTCAGGTTCCAAATTCTAACCTCTCCATCACATGCCCCAGAAAGGACAGTAGCCAAGTTCTTTGGATGCTTTGCCAAGCAATTGACTCCATCTCGGTGACCATCCAGCGAGGCAAGGAATGGTTTTGCAAATACCTGTTCCACGTTGGTAGCATTTAAAGCTCTTACATGTTCTCACAGGACCTCAAAAGCATGTAAGGTAGGATCATAGTTTCTTGGAACTCCGTGTTAGACCAACTTGGTTTCGCAAACATAATTGTCCGGATTCCAGCTCAGCATCTTCACCTTGGTTGCTCTTCCGGCCGAACTCCACAAGCGCTTCGCTATGAGTTCCACCCACTGCCACCTCCTTCTTGGAATTATTATGAAGTTTAGTTGGAGCAATGTATTTAAATAGCCCTAGATTGGTAGCTAGCATAAAGAATCACTCAGTAAATATGCAATTATTAATTCTAAGATTATAAAACATTTTTCAATAAAGTATACCTATTAAGACATAAGCATTTAATATTATAATTTAAAATATTTCTTTAAGTTTAATCAACCACACCAACCCCCAAAACCCACATCTGGACATGCTTTAAAAATAAATATACAAAAAGAACAGACAAATGCACCTATTTTCCTGTCAGTTTGTGTAATTATAAAGCCAAATAACAACCAACAAACTTAGTAGCTTTTGTTCAGATGCCAGCTTGTAGCTCTCACAAAATGAGACTTTAGCATTTTATTAATCATAAGACAGCACTAAATCTACATCCCACCTGACAGTTTTAAACATGCAGTCAAACGGTGAGTTAATTAAGTGACAGGATCCACGTTACTTAGGAAGACGAAGCAATAAACGGCTTCTGTGGCAGATTAAATGCCAGAATAAAATTGAGGTGTCTTTGATAAACCCCTGGAGAGGTTGCCGGCTACTCTGCCCTCCTAAAATCTGGACTGCAGCCCCAGAGACCATGAACACCTGCAGATCCAGCAATTACTAAAACACTTTTCAAGGTGTGGTATATTCAAGCTGAAAGTCAAAGGTGATAATTTCCAATCAAGATAATTGCCCTACATTTTGATGACTGACTAACTCTGAAATGAACACTCCAAAATGTATTCCTCATCTTACAAATGAGAGAATTTGGATGAGATGGGTCATATTTTGTATTAGTATCAGGATTTTAGGAGGCACCTCAGATTTCTCAGAAAAAAAGGAGACTGAACAACTAGACTCTACTCTGTCCACAGCCCCCACACCCTAGTAACAACTCCAGTTACATCCCATTTAAACAACTCATTTCTCAACAAGAAGGAATAAAGGAAGGAAAAAAGCCGGGAGGGAGGAATGCAGATAGAAATAATGGGCTAGAGAGTATACTACTTACATCTGCCTAATTTCAACTTTCTATGAGTTGAGAGAATGGAGCCTTCTCTCCACTCTGCTGTGATAATCTTTCATACAAATGGTCAACATCTTCCTCAAGGAGACAGTGATCCAATCTTAACACAATTATAATGAATGAAGAAAGAAGAGAGGACTGATTAGGACACAGAGAAATGGAGGAGCAAGGAAGAGGAGATGAAAACATATATTGTTTCTGCGATTTTTCTGAAAGTTACATGATATATGATTTTTAATTTATTCTATTTCAGCATATGAATCCCATGTAATTTACTCTGTGCAGCAACTCTGCACATTGTTTTTACTTTGATTTCACAAGTGAGTAAATTGAGAGATTAGAAAATTTAAGAAATACGCTAGGTCACAAAGCTAAGTGGCAAAACAGCAATTTGAATTTAGTATGCTCTGACTTGACAACCTGAATTCCTTTTACTTCAAAAAAGATATTTTAGAGTGGTTATCTCCAAAAAAGAAGAATGGGAGAAGAAACTAAGAAGAATAATTTTAACACTTTATTCTTTATGCTTTATGTTATTTGAATAATATTTGGTAAAGATAATGTGTTACCATGTTATCCTTATAACTTAGGGAATAAAGAGGAAACAAAATTTTCTGCTTACACCTATGTATCAATCTGGCCAAGGACTGTCTGACAGATTTTAAAACAACTTTCCTTAACAATAGTTTACAAGTCTTCCATTTTTGTATTCAACTCTATTATTAATCTGCTTAGCTAAATCCTGCCCTAAAGTGTTAACAGTGAATGTGGATTATGGATGGAAGAAATCCACTATTTTCATTCACAAATACTAAGCATCTAAACTCTCCCTATTCTCTGTGCTCAACCTATTTTTTTTTTCAGTAGATGTGAGGTATTTGGTGCTTATTGGGTGACTTTTTTCTGTAATGACATTTATGCTGATACATCTATGAATTATGTAAAAGCAGTTTTCTGCCCGCCACTTTCCTCTAAAACAGGCATTTTCACAAAGACAAATCCTCCAATTTCTACTCATGATTGGAACTCAAAAATGCAAAATTATTTTGCTCAAAATCATTGAGTTGGTAAGCAACAGAACTAACAGACCTTACTTCTAGGTCCTTAGGTTCAGAGTTTGATGCTGTATAGCTCATCAAAAAGCTAGCGTGATTCCAGGTGAAAAAGAGGGGGATGACAAGCCACTGACTTCTCAAAGACGCTTGAATTTAAAATCAGGATGAATTGATAAATCATACTATCACGAAGCTGACCTGATTAAAACATTTTACAATTATATTGTGGTTGCCTTAGTTGATTATCATACCTAGCAACTGGAATGAAAACCTAACATTGGAAAAGGAATCTGTAAATATTGCCTTCTAGCAAGAAATTCAACTTCACAAGTATTAAGATGGCTGATAATTTTTTTCATATCTCACCCCTTTTACCTACTTATAGTATTTAGAAGTAGGCATAGAATCGAACAAAATATATTTTTTTTCTTCATGTCACAGATACTCAGTTGGTGTGCTAAGCAGTTGAATCACTTCCTAATGATACAGAAATGAATTACACGTAGCCCATGGCCTCAAAGGGCTCAGTGTACTGAAGGAGGCTGCTAGAAAAAGCTTAACTGCCAACCAGCCTGTGGCTACGTACAGTGGGAATCAGTAAGCATTTGTGAATGTATCCAATGTGCTGATGAAGGTGTGTGCTACGGGAGAATAAAAAAGGCGTGGGACATTATGTAGGGCAGTGTCTCCCCAGTGGGTTCTGGACCCAGCCAAGTTTTACTGCATAAGTGTGGCTCATTTTCTGAGCCCCTTTCTAGCTATGCTCTGCCATTCTGCTCTTTGGTCCCCAGTCTCCAGCATCCATTCTCCAACTGCTGAGATCTATATGGATAATTTTGACAGTTTTCCAAGCTTCAGTGTGGTTTGAATTAGGAAAGCCTGAAATCCAGGGGTGGAGGTGGGAGGAAGAGTCTTTCTGCTCTTGCTCCTTAACATTTCTATTGCATTTGAATATTTAGCCTAGTAAGGGAACAGAAGTTATGTTCTTATTTCTATTAAGGCAGTAAAAATCTCCCACCTGGAGTGAGCCAAGTGAGAAATACTTGCAACTCCTATACCTAAGGCCAGTTTTTAAAATCATACTTATGTTGCATTCTGGAGGCAAGCAAGGTAATCACTAAAAGCTGTGCTAAAGAATTATAGACTCAATTTTTGAGTCCGTACAAATATAAGAGGAAGCACACCATTTCAAAACCACATCTGTAACTTACTGATAGCTTCTCTAGACTTCCAGTTGAACAAGGTAGCCAAAGCACATGTGTTTATAGTTCTCTCCTCCATCCAAACACTCACTGAAAGGAATATAGGAAGTATAATCAAAGCAGGACAAAGAGAACAAGGGAAGTCAAGGGAAGCTATGTTAACAGATGACAGGTTTCAACCAAACTGGACTGATGATAACAAGCATAAAATATCAGAGAAATGGCAAAACCTAAGCATTGACAAGCAAATTCACGATACTTAGGAAGCCTGTGAATTTGTGGTCCAGTATCTCTGAAAGAAAGGCAAATGATAGGGCTGAAATGGGGTGGGGTTAGGGGTGGGGCTGTTAAAAATCTGGTTAAAGAACAGTTAAATAACCAGCTCTTCCCACTCTCTGAAATTGACGTATACAGTACACACAACTGCCAGTCAAAGTGACTAGAGGATCTTCTCTGAAGGAATTAAAGAGTTTAGAGAAAGACCTATAGGTACTTACACATAGGGCTCCTGCAATAACTTCTCTGTCAGCCTACACTAAGACTCACATCTCAACAAGCTTCTTCTGCACACAAATGTTCTATCAATTATATAATAGTTCACTCTTAAATATGAATGGACAGCAAAAGACTTCCAGATATTTGAGGAAAATGCCAAATATTGAAGCCAGAGACTACAATAGCCAAATAGTAAAAAGAATTCAGACAACAGGATGAAAAAAATGGTAATTAATATATTCAGAGAGAGAAGAGATTATCTGCATCTAACCAATAAAAAAGAATTTTATGCTTTTTAAAAAACTTAGAAAACATTAGAAAACTTTCAGAAAGAAAAAAATGACAATATAAAAGAAATATTTAATTAAGGCAGAAGATAAAACTGAGGAATCTCTCTAAAAATAATAGCAAAGGGACAAATGGGAGAGGAAATGGAAATAATAATTAAGGAAATTAAAGAATCAACCCAGCAAGCACAACATTCAGTTTTCCAAAAAGAGTGAACTGTAAAAAACTATCAAGGAATAATACAAGAAGATTTTTCCAAAGTAATGCACATGAGAACCACACCAAAGCATACCACCTAAAATTTCAGTACATTGGGAAATTAATTTTCCAAAAAGTTTCTAAAATTATGAAGCAAGTCATACTTCAGATAAACAATCATAGTGATGTTAGACTTGTAGACAGTCTACTGTCCAGCACTCGAATACCAAAAGCTACAAGTCATGCATTCAAAGGTCAGAAAATTGAATCTAAATTAGATTTCCAGTCAACTATCAATCAAAAATGAGAGCTGACTAAAGATATTTTCAGATAATTATGTTTTTAAAATGACCTCTCAAAAAATTACCAGAGAATGAAAGGGTAAACCAGGAAAGAATACTTGGACTTTCAGAAGGGAGAGAAACAACCTCAAGAGAGATGAGTAAAATTTCCAACATGATGGAAAAGGGAAGCCCCAGTGTAGTATTTATTCAGTAGGCACAGGGACTCACAAGCCTTGGTAGGAATTAAGAGAGTTCCAAGGGGGAAACAAATGGAACTGATATATTATTTAATGTCTTTGACCATATTTCATGGAATTTTACATTCTTACATGTTGTTGAAGAATTAATAATAGGTATACATAAAACTAGCAACTGAAGAGCCAAGATTATTCACTATGTTTAACAACAATTTCCTTATAAAATGGTTTAGCTGAGGATA